AGTATGGGTAGCTTTGCGTATATTCCAGTTGGTGAGAGACCGCTCGCATCAGATGTACAGGCCTTGGCCAATCAGTTCGTGAGGTTAGATGTTTCCGAGCCCAGTCGGGTTCTAGTTTGCACGGTTTCTCGGTCTTCTTTGTACAAGCCCATCAGAGAGCATCAGTATGACGACCCCCATTTGCTTGTCCTTAAGGACATAGTACAGCACGATGATGCCAAGAAGGTTTCTCTTGGGGACGATGGGATTATATGGATGCAGGTTCGGATTTGTGTGCCTAATGTGGATGGGCTTCAAGGGTTGATTCTTGAGGAGGCCTACAGTTTGAGGTATTCCATCCATCCGGGTGCCACCAAGATGTATCAGGATTTAAGGCAGCATTATTGGTGGAGAAGGAGGAATAAGGATATAGTTGCATATGTAGCACGGTGTTTGAACTGTCAGCAGGTGAAGTACGAGCATCAGAGGCTTGGTGGTTTGCTTCAGAGGCTTGAGATTCCTGAGTGGAAGTGGAAGCGTATTACCATGGATTTCGTTGTTGGGCTCCCACGGACTCAGAGTATGGGTGCTTGTAAATAGGTTGACCAATTTGGCGCATTTCGTTCGAGTAGCAGTTACCTATTCTTCAGAGCGGGTGGGTGAGACTTATATTCGTGAAATTGTTCGTCTGCACAGTATGCTGGTGTCCATCATTTCTATTCGGCGTACGCAATTCACATCGCACTTCTGGAGGGCCGTACAACGTGAGTTAGGCACACAGGTTGAGCTGAATACACCATTTCACCCATAGACATACGGACAATCCGAGCGCACCATTTATATATTTGAGGATATGCTTCGCACCTGCGTTATGGATTTTGGGGGTTCTTGGGATCAGTTCTTGCTGCTTGCGGAGTTTACCTAAAACAACAACTACAAATTGAGTATTAATATGGTTCCCTATGAGGCACTATATGGGAGGCGGTGCCGTTCGCGAGTTGGTTAGTTAGATCCGAGACAAGCTCAGTTGTTGGGTACTGATTTGGTTCAAGATGCCTTGGAAAATGTCATGATGATTCAGGATCTACTTCGCACAACTTAGTCTAGGGAGAAGAGTTATGCCGATCGGAGAGTACTTAATGTTGCATTCATGGTTGGAAAGAGGTGCTTCAGGTTTCACCAATGAAGGGTGTGACGAGGTTCGGAAAGAAGGGCAAGTTGAGCCCTAGGTATATCGGACCCTTTGAGATTCTTGAGAGAGATCGTGAGGTGGCCTACAAGCATGCATTGCCACCTAGTTTATTAGCAGTCCACCCGGTGTTTCATGTCTCCACACTCCGAAAGTATCACGATGATTCGTCCCATATTTTAGATTTCAGCTCCATCCAATTGGACAAGGATTTGACTTATGAGGAGGAGTCGATGACCATTCTAGCTCGCAGGTAAGAGTTATCCTTCAATTCGAGTGCAATGGAGAGGTCAGCTGATCAAGGCAGCTATGTGAGAGTACGAGTCCAGCATGCAGAGTAGATACCCATACCTTTTCATCAGTCTAGGTACTTTTCTATATCCATTCGAGGACGAATGTTTGTTTTAGAGGTGGAGAATGTGATGACCAGATAGGTCATTTTGAGATTTAGCCTCTATTTTCATGTTCCGAGACATTGATTAGTTTCTTTTAGAGTTTCTCAAATTGTCTTCCCAGTCCGTGTCTTATTCCGGAAAGCCTTTATGTGAAAAATGGAAGAAAATGTAAATTTTTTCCTTTAAAATAGTTTGAGTTGACTACAGTCAATATTGTGCGGACCCGGATCGGTATTTTGGCGATCTCGGTGGGTCTGTATCGTGATTTGGACTTGGGCATATGCCCAAAATTGAATTTGGAAGTCCCTAACTTGTTTCGACTCATTTTGCCGAAATCTAGCATTTTTGAAAGTTAAGAGTTACTAAGTTTGACTGTAAGTTGACTTCTTAGCTAATGGGTTCAAATTTTGATGTTGGAACTTGGAATAGTTCCATATTGCTATTTGAAATTTGTCTGCAAAATTTGGTTCAATTCGAAATTAATTTGACATGATTCGAACGCTTAAATGTGATTCTAGTGTTCTTGAGTTTCACTTTGATATTTCATTCGTTTTAAGGATCGATTCATAGACTTAAATGTGATTTTGGTGATTTGATTGTGCGAAAAAGTTCATATGATATTATTACACTTATGTGCATGTTTGGTTTGGAGCCCGAGGGGTTCAGGTGAGTTTCGGACGTGTTTCAGATTAATTTTGCAAAGGAAAAGTGTGTTGGTGCAATACCAGTTCTGGTGCTCTGTTGCGGATCTCGCAATTGCGAGGTCTGGCTCGCAATTGTGAGCCTCGCTTTTGTGAAGAATGTTTTGCATTTGCGAGCATGGGTTGGGCTGGGTGAATCTCGCATTTGCTAGAATTTATTCGCATTTGCGAACTGTGGACTTTCGCTTTTGCGAAGGAAGTGTCGCATTTGTGATCACTGACCATTTTGAGTCTGTTTTGCAATTGCGATCCAAATGTCACATTTGCGTAGGTGGTGAGTTTGCATTTGCGATCCAAATGTCACATTTGCGAATTCTTCTCTTATTTGTTAGGGTTCACATTTACGACCATTGTCTCGCATTTGCGATGTTTGCAATTGGGAATAAGACTTCGCAATTACGACATCCGCATCTGGGTAAAAGAGGGAAAAATGGGACTTAGTTCATTTCTCACAATTTCTCAACCTTAAACACTCTAGAGGCGATTTTCCAAAAGACCTTTCTTCCCAAATTCATTGTTAAGTGACTTCAACCCATTTCTTTTCAATTACCTATTACATTTTATGAGATTTCAACATCAAATTTAGGATTTCCATGGAAGAAATTAGGGATTTGTGTAGAATTGGAAATTTTTGTAAAATTGGGATTTAGACCTCGAATTGAGGTCGGATTTCGAAAAAATTCACATTATCGGGCTCGGGAGTGAATAGGTAATCGTGTTTTTGTCCGAATCTCGATTTTGACCAAGCGATCCTGGGGTTGACTTTTTCAAAAATGATCAAAAGTGAACCACTTTCATGTGTGGGTAGTTTCTAAAGCTTATTTTGAATCATTTAGTCCATAATTTGCTATATTTGGTTGGTTTGGAGGCTTGTTCTACAGGCAAGGCCGTGGTTGATTGATTGCTTGAGTTGCTGAGTGAAGTAGGTGTTGGGTCTAACCTTGATTTGAGGGAATTAGGAACCCTTGAACTACATGTTATGTGAATTATGTGTGAAATGGCGTATATGCGAAGTGACGAGTGTATATACGCCGTTAGGTTACTTGCTTCCATGTTTTTATTACTTCATAGTATATTTTGTTACATGCCTTAATTGCTACATGCTTATTTGACTTCCATACCATAATTGTTACTTGTCACTTAGTTATCCTTATATTAAATTGTCCATCCCTTCCATAGTTATATGCTTATTTGCTATTTGTCTGTATTTGATGTACTTGCATATTTAAATTATCATATGTCTTACTTGTCTTATAGTTTTATAGAATTTGTTGCCTTCTATGAAGTAGTTTTACTTGTACGAGTTGTTAATTGGTAGATATCGATGAGTTGGTAAAGTTCAGACATTCGAATTGTTAGAGATTCTTGGATTATTACGTGATTCTTCATTGCTTCGTATATTTACTCTCGTGAGGTAGAAATTCCTTTAAATTTTGGTTGTTGAATTGCTAATGTTGATTGAAATTGTTTGGGGAGCAGGTTGCACGCCGCAACGAAAATTAAAAGGTAATGAATTGAAATGGTGGAATAAGGATGGATTATGATGTTGACAGATGATGATAGGGTGGGATCGGGTTGCGCGCCGCATTAGATTGTATAAGTTGTATTTGTTTGTGACTGCTTTTGAAATGAGCTTATAAGACTTGTTATTCTAGGCTCTCTGGTAGTTGGATTTTGAGTTCGTTGTTATGAGTTAACTGCTTTATTTCCATTCATGTCTTTTCTGTTATTATTATTATTGCGTACATGTTATTGTAAGTGACCTGCCTCAGCCGCGTCACTACTTTGTCGAAGTTAGTCTCGGCACTTACAGAGTACATGGGGTCGGTTGTACTCATACTACACTTTGTACTTCTTGTGCAGATACCAGAGTTGGTCCTAGCTGCGCTGAGTGAGGTTTGCTCGAATCTAACTATCAGTGAAGACTAGAGGTATAGCTTCATGTTCGCAGCCCTGAAGTCGTCTTCTACATCATTTTTAGCTATTTATTTTGATTCAGACAATTATGTTTTATTCAGACCATTATATGTAGTACTCTAGACACTCATGTATTCATGGCACCAGATTTGGAATTTGGTTTTGGTGTTTCGTCATTTAGTAGTTTATCATCTTATTTCAGACTATTCAATTTTGTTGTTGTCTTTTAAATTGGAATTGTTAAAATAGTTAATAGATATAGCTAACGTTAGCTTATCTAGCAAGTGGAATGTTTGGCGCCATCACGGTCCTGAGGGTGAAAATCCCGGATCGTGACACAAGATTACCTAAATTTCCCTAAAGTTTTGTCAAACACAAAATTTTATTCTCCTAAAGTACTTTTGAAATTTTATTTGAAAAGAAGTTATTTCAAAATAATAAGATTTTGAATGATTGGTCAAACGGAACCAAATGTACTTAGGAAAATATTCGATGTTTTGCTGATAGATGACAAATACAACAAATAAAGGTCATCTTTAATAACTAGATTAAATTAGTGTATTTAGGTCCTAGGAAGTTTTACTAGTATATCCTTTGTAAAAATAACAGTATAATAAATTAAAAATCAATATGCACTTTTATAAAGGAATTTAAAGAACAAAGATAAATTACATTAAAAAAGAAATAGGACATTTTCACTTGTCATTAATTCGTAGTTTTAGATATTGTCATGACCTCATTTTTCCTCCGTACGATATCGTGATGACACCTAGTCTTTAAGACTAAGTAAGCTTAATGCTTACTGAATTAATGACAAAATTCAACCAACGACTATTAATTATGAAACATAAATTTTTATACAAGCCAACAATCCCAAAATCGGTAGTGCAAGTCATAAGCTCTACTGAGTTTACTAGAAAATCTCTAAGTACAATTGTTCCGGAATAGCAATAACGGACATTTTCACTTGAAATAAAGGAAGATTTATTATTTATCTTTACGACAATACAAAATATTAAATAGATATTTCAACTTAAAGAAATGAAAGCTTTAACCAATCAGTAATATCTACTCTGCAGCTCTTGATGTTGAGCTTTGAGCAGCTTTTTCACGTTCAATCTCCTTTTCAACTTCATTGCTTACCAAATTCAAAAAATTATGATAATCCACCAAATCCTTTTTGTCCGGGAATATTTTATCATTCTCCATCTGTGTAATTAGGATAGACTCCAACTCTTGGAGTTTGTTTTCCAAACCCATCCTCTTCACTTCTTCTTTGTTATTAGCAATAGCAGCTGCAATGAGTTTCTTTAATTCATCAATATCCATTGCTTTGTTGTTGTAGATTTAGCTCTAAAAAATGTTGCACAATTTCACACCTCAAAATAACACTATTTATAGGTAAAAAAGGCATGCAACTATGGTAAGAGTATAATATTGCCTACTTAAGATAGATTTACTATCTTTTCATCATTTAACTACTTGCTAAATTTTCGTATTATGTAATTTGGATCAACTTTTCAAAATCTATAAACAAAAAGGGATTCAAATTTTAAATATATTTCAAGCTAATTCGAAGATTATCTTTGAATTATGAAACTGCAATTTAGTAAACAAAATTAAGAAAAATTCAACCACGTTATTCTTCAGGAGTTATAGAATATTTATAATGTCAAAAAAAAAATAAAATAGAGAAGGAACTGATATTTTCTAGTCTATGAGGAAAAACGATACCTTTATTAACTCAATTACTTAATTTTATATTTCTTAAATACTTAATATTAATTTAAAATATCATTTAATAGTTTGATAAAAAATAAATTACCTCTAGCAAGTGTATACAAAATGTCTTTAATCCTAACTGAATAAGAAAAAGTAAAAAAGAGTCAATCGAACCCATTTTGGTTCTAAGGGATCGTTTTATCTCTCCACAAAGTCACAAACAAAACAAAATGAAACAAATTAACCCAAATTCGATCAAACTGATTAATCATTGCAATATTATACTCCTGCCATAGTTGCATGCATTTTAAACCTATAAATGCTATTATTTGGGGGGGGTAAAATTATGCAAAATTATTCAGTGCCAAGTCTGCAGCAAAAAAGTAATAAATACCTATGAAATCAAAAAATCATTGCAGTCGACGTCGCTAATAACAAAGAAGAATTGAAGAAGATGGGTTTAGAGAACAAGAGCAAGGAGATGGAATCGATCTTAATTGCACATATGGAGAATGATAAAATACGTGTGGACAAA